GCCACAAATCCTATGGCATATCCTGATCGTTCATGTTGCTAGTACTCTTCGTGTCTGTGTCTTCTCCCTGAAAAATCATATCGACCCATGTACCGCTGACATCTACTGTTCATGCTCGATCGATGGATACGGGTCATTGTTTTTGAGATTCACATCCAGTTAGTGTGTTGCTCGCCGACTGTATTCCATTTTCACTATCATGAAAGCAGTAACTTAGTGTCGAACAGTCAAGTGATCGTTTTAATCCGGAATAGAAAAGGATAGCTGTATCAAACCGACTGCTACAGAAACAGGGTCAAGACGACTGACATAAATTAACTGATGGTTGCGTCATTCTGGAATAAAGTTCTCGGTTCAAACGTTGCTGTTTTCAAAAATGCACTCCCTCGAGTGGGGTTCTGAATTCAGTAATCCTCGTCCGTATCACATTGTCCTATTAGCGCACTCTTCCGCTACACAATGTTAGCCCGTTGGACGTAGGTTACGGTTTGACAGTTAAAGTGGCCTAGCGCTGACACGTAAATCGGCAGAACGAATTGGCCCATGTTACAACGGATGTCCGAACATACTCCCAAATGATTATCACAGTCGATGACGCAGTACCATGCCAGAGGTCGATCTGGATAGAGAAATCCAGGGTCATCAATCACAAAACATCTCATGACAACTGGTCACATCGTTGACCCACTTTGGTCGTTCAAGTCGTTGTTACGTAACATGAATCTTAGGCTCTTAGCTTTCAGCGAAGTGATGTTAATCAAGTTATGTAATCCAATTTTGTGTGCACAGAAGTTTCTGACACAATCGGTCGGATTACCAAAGCCATCATCAGTCAGCGCGTTTGAAAATGTTCGATAACTGAGTTAGTATTAAGAAATTATTGACGAATATACTTGAATGATACCTGAAGAATATAACAGCGTGTGATCTGTAAAATGCGCTGAATAACATCAAAATACCTTTTTATACCTCTACATGATGCGGATCAGCGACAAACCAACCGAGATGCTGGCACCCACTTGGTGTTGATGACAGTCTTTCGCTATTCAAATAATCTGACGTTCTAATATGCCTGCCTAATCAGCAGTCTTCAGTTTGAGACCACGAGTTTAGACAGGCTACTGCAAAACACTTAATTCGTAAAAAGGAAGTGATTTCTTTGTGATGTATGACTTTTATTTTATATCATTGGTCTATCGAGACGTGCTATTTTTCCCTCTCTGTTGTGGTGAACAGTAGGAGACGTCCATTTATCTTTTATGTGTTTTCATTCCGGTAACCATAAAGAATTCAGTTCAGTTCAGTTTGTTAAACTCTCATCCATGTACGCTGGTTTTGATTGGTGAAGGTTGGGACGTGATTAGGAACGACCGCTACTTTTTGCTACACAGCCATATCACTCGACGTTTCTAGTCGTCGACTACGTAGATCCCAAGGTCCTCATCCAGGAAGCCTAACGCAACGTTTATGATGAAGTTTCTTAGCCAGCTTTCCACGCCCCTCGTGCTAAGTCTTAGTTTGAGCACTAAAATTTTTTCCATCCATTATATACCACAGCAGCGCCCGCCCTACCAATCTATTTGGTGACATGCGTAACACATCCCCCAACCAACGCAGTCTATGGATAGTCGACCCCTTGTCCAAACAACTCTCGATTGGTCGTGGTTTATCTGTTTTGCATTAATTATCTGTGTAATCATGTGTGAAAATGAAAAGATTATCAGCATCATCATAATGTAGAAGTGAATTTTCTTTCCGAGTTTGATTGTGTCAGTATCCCCGGAGTCATAATTTCTTGTTGTTTTATCCACGTTCCGTATTTCCACAAACGGGTCACATCCTATCTCCGGTCCGAATTAGGTTCAATCGGACGAGTTCATCGAAACTCGTCGACTATTCCTCGTGGTCGATGGACAAGATTTGGCTATTGGGTGACTTTCACACGCACAGATTTTTTTTACTAATTTCCGTCATAATCTTTATCATAGCCTGTTATGACACATTACTTGAAACATCATTTCCCCGGTAACCCTGATTTGGTTCAGTTTTTATTTACCCGGATCATCATCATCATCATCGTGCAGCGAAATACCGTGAAGTGAACTTCATTGACCACTGCCAAACTCGCAATGTATACAAGAATAGTGACAATATGTAAGGTGGACAGTGATTGGATCTACTTATCCGAATCTGTCAGTTTTATACCCACCGTGATAGTATAAGAGCGGCAATTTCATCCAACTGCAAGTGTAAGTGACTATTGAATGTTATCTTTAAACTCCTTTGAATGACCTCATTGCGCTCTAATCTTTGAATGTTTCTCCTTATACAGAGTTGGGCTGGTCACAACCTTGCGACGTCTGGTCCATCGGATGCATTATGTTCGAACTGTACACCGGTTATACACTATTCCAGGTCAGTTTAATTGCGCATTCTCATTCGTCTGTTTTGCTGCTGTCACACGGGTTTTTCTCGTTCGCGATGTTTAGGCGTTGCGATGATTGCGATTCGCGCGTTGCACATGTCCCTAGATAGCACTACCATCACACTGACGGTGCCCAATCCTTCAGATCTCCCTCCCTCTAGTCATCGAATTTTCCGTGTCTTCGTATTTGAAAAGATGGCACTCGAAGTTTCTTCTCCCAGTTGTATACAGCAGATGTCTACGTTGCAGTTTTCGATGGTTACTTCTAAACACTCAGCAAGATCTACTTTACGTAGGTGCTCTATCTTTATGTTAGATGGTTTGCCGGAAGAAGCGAACCGGTATAGCTCAAACATGCATTCGAAACATTTTAGTAAGATAAGATTCAGTTCAGATCGGAAAGATAATCGACAAATTTAAGTCCAATA